GCCCTGAAACAGGGGCGGGGGAGGGCGCGGCCTGAGGGCGGGCGGCCTCAGGCGGCTGCCTCGCAGTGGCCACGATTGGCAGTGGCACCCGTGACTAAGGGGCGCGCGCGTGCGACCCCAAAGGAGGGCGCTGCGGGCCGGCCAGGCCGGGGCGCGCGCGTCTTGTTTTCTGCCGGACACACGATGGGTTGAGAACCACACTTTGATGAGCCGTGACGTAGAGCCGTTATGCCGTTATCGCAGCTATCTGCTGCGCGCACTTGGGGGCTGCTGTGGCCCCACCAATGATTATGGACGCGTGACACCCGGGTTGGTAGAAGCGCATGTGGCACCCCTGAGCCGCTAGGCTGTCTCTGCACCCCACGTGAAGCCTGGGCTGCGCAGGCGCGCCCGCCACACATATTTCAATCGAGAGCGGTCAGTTGCATGGCGTGCTGTATTGCTTGTGTGAGAAACATTGCTTTCGCCTTTGATTCATGTAACACAACCCTCACCACCTCAAGGTCTGCCGCGCACATCGCTTGGACTTGCGGGCGATATGCTACATGAGGGTTACCAAACGCCACTCCAGCAGTCAGCATAGCCCAAGGGAAAGCAGAGGGTCCAGCAGCGGCAGAGGCAGACGAGGGCAAGCAATACAAGGTCCAGAATTTTGCGTCGCGCGAGGCATGAATCCAACAAAGCGTTCAAGTGCGGAGGCCAGTGCGCCCCATACACACGCCCAGGCGGTGCTGGACAGCACACAAAGCTTTGCTGCTCAATATCAGGATGCAACCAGAAGTTGACCACCTGAATCCAGGAACCCAGCTGCGCTCTGCCTGGCGCCGCGGCCGCCCGTGCACCTTGCAGACTCGGGATCCTCATGGAATCTTACAATGTGCGCAGACGTACAGTACGCACGCCAAGGCACTCCGGTGGTTGACTGCACACCTGCTCAGACGTGCGTTTGAGTTATCCAGAAAGACTTGCGCACATGTGTCGCACGACAAAGATTTGATATCTTCAGGGCGGGCGGTGCACGTGCATGTGAAAATATGTGCACGTGTGGGTGTGGATGCGGCGGATGGCCGCTTGCTCACATGTGTGCGTTTGGATATGCAAGTGTCGAGTCAAGTGCAGAGCGTCAATGCATGGATGCAAAAGTTGGTAGCAGCCGTGGCGGGTATGCATAGCTTGTCAGTTGCTGTGTTGGATAAAATGTTGAATGCACAAGGCCGCACGCATTGGCGCGCCAGCTGGTGTGACAAGGGGCGGCAGTGCCGAACGCCTCTGGAAAGTGGTCCTGGGATCATCAGAACGCATCCAACACGCAATTCACTGAAGAAACTTCAGCGTAGACCACGGCCCTGTTTGCGTATATTCGCAAACGGGCAGAGGCATGGGGCCGCGGGGGAGGAACGGCGGGTCGGCACATCCGTGATCAGGCGCTCCCAGCAGCGCATGGTTGCCGCCTTGCACCGTCCAGCTGGCAGGGCGGGGGCGAGTCGACTCTGGTCAACTCTGGTCAACCTTAGTCAGCCTTGTTCTCAATGAGGTTTGCCATTGACTCCGACTGCGGCAAGCTGTAGTGCCGCTCCGCCGTCGCCGCGGGTTCCACCGAGCGTTCCTTGGCCGCCAGGCGGCTGAAACAGCAGCCGAAGCAGTCGAACATCCAGCCCATGCCCTCGCCTTTGTTGTGCTCTTCATCGTTCTGCGCAGTGGTGCGGATTGCGTCGGCGAAGGGGCGCGGGAGGGGTTCGGGGGGCTGAAGCTGCCCCCAGGGAGCATGCTGGCCACAACGAGGCCCATGCACGAGATCACTTGCGCCTTATGGGCTGCAGCCCACGGCCTGGAGCCTGTCATGCACATCCACTATTCTGCAGCGTCGCCTGCGCTGTCACATCGTCGGCCTTGCAGGCCCCGTGGTTGCGCCGAACCCCCTCGTCCGCGCATGCCGCCTAAGCGCGCTCACCGGTCTGTGGGGTGCCACAGGGTCATACTCGGGTGCTTCCACAAACAGGTTCTTGCCGCTGGTGGGGGGGGGTGAGGGGCAAGGGCAGGGGATGGGTTGACGACAGGGATGGGGATGGGAACAGGGACGGGGATGGGAATGGGAATGGGTATCGAGGGGAAGGGTTGTGAGTGTGGGGCGGAGGCGTGGGAGGGGCATTACAAGGGGCGGGGGCTGGAAGAGTGCTGTGTGTTTCGAAATGGGGGAGCAGCACACGCGCGGTATCAACTGTGAACAGGACAGACGTACCTGTTTGAAGTGCGATGCTATATTTTTTGCGTGCAAGGGTGTGCGCTCTTTCACGGAATATGGGCACCTCAGGCGTCAGCGCAGCGCCAGAGCGCGTGCAGCAGGCGGCGCATCTGAGTCCAATTCCTTCTACCGATGCTGTTGCTCCGCGGGCCATTGCGCATTGGTACCCTCATACATGTGAACAGCCAAGCAATCCCGCCCAGGGTCGACGCGCTGTGGCGAATGAGCAGCAGTCTGCGGTGTGACAGCCGTTTTTCGGTGACACTGCAGAGAACGCTCCACACACGGTCAAAGCCCACCTGGGCGATGCTACAAGAGCAAACGACTTGGATTTGCTGAGCCCCTCAGGCTTGTCGTCCTGGACAGAGCTCGAGATTGGCGTAGACATGGTGGCGTCGGGGAACCAGTTCAAACTTCGCAAAGAATTGATTTGATCCCCTTGAAAGTGGACATCACTCAGGACGGGCAGGTTCACTTTGCTTGCAGGTGGCTGACTCACATGCTGCAGTTTGCATCAGGCTCTGTGACAAGCTCTTTTAATTAGAGTTGTGGAGATGTTCGCTTTTTCGTGCGCCCATGACATGAGTGGTTGTGAGGAGCAAGTCAATCGCATCGACCGTATGTTTGACCGCTGTTGACCTCCCCTGCAGGACTTGCTTGCGTATCAAATCCATTAGCCACTGCGGATGCGACGCTCTGCCCTTGGATGGACTTTCTATTCATTCCCGCAGCTGAACTTGCTTAGCCCCTCACTGCCATCAGCAAGACCACGATTGTGCTGCTCATCATGTCCCTTGGCGCATCCATACCTTCATGGGTTGGGGCGTCACGAGCTACAACACACCCTGTGCATGTTTGAAGGGTAGCACCATTTGCAACACTGCATCAGCGTTAGTTTCTTTTAGTTTTGCAATGACACAGTTGCAATATGCAGTGACGCAGTTGCAGTTCAGGGAATCCTGCAAGCCAGAGTGGTTGATCCCGGACGGGGAGGCGATGCAGAGTCGGTGGGACCACGGTGGACAGGGGTCATGACACACAGGTTGTCACCGTGATGCCGCCTATCAAGAATTAGCTGTGCTTCCACAAATGCTGACAGTTCCTGGTGTTCGCACGTGCAGGCAAATGCCCACACAGCAGACCCTTGCAGCTGGGCCCCACAACTCTGCTCTGTCCTGGGGCACTCCGACAAGCGCAACATGCTGTGACATGAGAAAGCTGCATTGCCCAACTGGTAACTCGCTATACGGTATGCAAGTTTTTCATGGAAGTGTGAGCAATGGCCTTGCCATGTGCTGCTGCGAGCCGCCAGCTGCGGCTACCAGGCTGCAGCACTGCGCGTTGGTGGTGTGCTGCGTGCCGTGGCCCGCAGGTGTTCTCTCCTGCAGCCACCAGCCAGTGTATTACAGTGCTATTTTGACCCGGCACGCGCCCCCCCCCCGACCTAGAAAGGAAAGCTGCTGCACCCAGCCTGTGTGCGCTCGTGCACCGCCCTAGCGCGACTGCGCAGCTGCTGGCAAGGAAGCTGCATGCCTGCGGGCTGGCCTCGGCAGAGCTTTGCACAGCCAAGGGCGCGCAGCGCCCACCAAATGTGTGGTGTGCTGCGGCAGGCGCACAATATAAATAGTCATTGTCCATCGGACATTCAGCCTGTACGTAGCTCCATCAAACATCAGCTTCGGACTCTGCGTCTCAGATCAACCTCGCCACGAGCTCGCAGCTCAGAATGCCACCCAAGGGCGTGGAGAAGCACAAGGGACCTGCTAAGCAACTCACAGCGCAAGGTACGTATGTGCCGAGGCCCCTGAGACGTCGTCGTGTTGTTGCGGGATGATGATGCCGCCGTTCGAAAGCTCGTACCCATCAATACTATTTTACAGCGTCCAGAGGATGGTAGGGACGTCCTAGGTTACACGTCTGAAGTCACGGTGCCCAGCTGCGCGGGACACGTCCTTCGCCTGCGGCGTCGGGCCCGTTTGCAGGCGCAGGCGGCACGACCATGACGCTGGAAGCGCTCAAGGCACAGATTGAGCAGGCTGTCAGTAACCTGGCCACCAAGATGGAGCAGGGCAACCGAGAAACAAACCGCGCGTGAGCGTGCTGGTTCGCCTTCGAACGTACGGTAGCAGTGCAGCAGCGCAGACGCCTCGAGTGCTGGTCTGCCTGCAACATGCTGACAAGCGGTGTGTCTGGCGCCCCACGCATGCCACGCGCATGAACCCCGCTGCACGGCTATGAAAGAAGGATGACGAAGCATCAGGTCCTGATTGCAGTGCAGGCTGGTCAAAGATTATTCAGCGACATTACCGCCTGCGCCATGAAAGCGAGCGATATGCATGCCCGTGTATGTGTGCGACGCATGCATCCATGCACGCGGCACGCCCGCCCTACCAACCCACCGCCGCGCCGCATGCAGGTTCAAGGCGCAGGCCGGCACTCTTGAGAAGATGGCCGGGCAGCACTATGAAGCCACCGTGGCGGCGCAGCAGGCGGCGGCGGACAGCATGCAGGTCGCGGGGGACGCCCATGCGCAGGCCCTAGGGGAGGTGCGCTAACACCCATCCGCGCCGCATGGGTATCGGATGCAGCCGGCATCGCCATGCCGCTCGGCTGCAGCTTGCGAGACCATGGCCGGTGCATGCCCCTGCGCTAGCGGCATCTGGTGTGTGCATGCAGCCATACGTGCGGCCGGTGTGGTGCACGTATGCCACTATGCCACTGGTTTTTTTGCTGCCGGGCGCAGCCTGCCGTATCCTGCGGTGACGCCCGCCGGGCTGCCCGCAGCGCCCGCAGCACCGCAAGCGCAGGCACCCACATGTTGCTGTCAGACAAGCCGTGCTCCACCAGCGCGCGCCCCGATGCCCTGGTGATGAGCTGCCTGCCGCCGCGCCCACACGCAGGTCGCCTCTGCGGGCAAGCGCCTCGCGGGCGGCCTGCAGGCCAGCAGCAAGTCGACCCTGGCCGCGGCCCAAGCGGTGGCGTCACAGGTGGCACGAGACGCGGGCCAGCTTGCGGCGCAGCACGGCATCAGGGCGGGCGGTGCGGGCGGGGGCGGGGGCGGCCCGGCGGCGGGCGCGCCTGGCGGCGGCCGGGGGCGGGGAGGGGGTTAGTCTGGGCGGTGCGTGCTGCATGGCTGACCACTGGTCGGCCCCTGGCAGGGGGTGGGGGTGCGGTAACATGGTGCAAGCAATCCCGTGTAGGGGCAAGGGGCTCGTACCCCGACAGGCAGATGGCGGGGAGAAGTTGTGCAGACGGGCGAGGGCCGCTAGCGTTTTGTGTAAATGCGGGCGAGTGCCGCCTGGTGGAGGTGCGGCGTGCGCCGGCCTGTTCCTGGCCTGGCGGGCGTGGGTGCAGGGGTTTGAGGGGGGCGAGCATGCAGCTAGCAGCTTACTGCTAAGAAACGACAACGTTACAAAATAAGCTTTCTCAAGGTCCACTCTCACAAAAATTCGCTCAAACTTAGGTGTGATTTGCCAGCGTAAGCATACAGCACAAGCGGGTCGTTGCGACTCAGCTCACATCTCTCGCCCCCTCCCGTTCAGCAGCGAAAGCCCGCGCGCGCTTCCGTCAAAAAGCCGCGGCGCACCGCACCGCGTCACGCCCCCAGCTTCACCGCCGCCGCGCGAACCCGAGCTCGGGCAGCCCCCACTGCTTCCCGCTGCCGCTGTCGCCGTCCTCCTCCTCCTGGGCGCCGTCGGACAGGGGGAGGCCGTCGGAGCCCCACTGGGCGATGCCGCCCTTGACGTAGGAGATCTTTGAGTAACCGGCCTTGCGCAGGAAGTAGGCGGCCTGAGGGGTTGACCAGCGTGAGTCGCAGAAGTCGAGAAACTTCAAAATTGCTCGGATTTACAACGAGTATATGGCATAACGTGCAACAGACCGGGGGCGAGCAGGGCAGCAAGGGAAAGGGGGGATGAGCGGGCACGGGTCATGGCTGCGGCGAGGGCGCCCGCTGCACCCAGCGGCGCCGCCGAGGAGCGGGCGCCGCGCAAGCACAATGCTGGGGTGTCCCATCCAAGCGGCAAGGGGGTTGGGGGCGGGCGAGTGGGGAGGCGTCTTGCGCCCGCATCAGGCCACGGCGGGGCCGCATGGCGCGGCGCGCCGCACCTTGAGGGATCGTGACTGGAAGCCGTACATGGTGCCTGACTTGTTCTCCAGGCTGCCCCCGTTCTCACACAGCAGGATGACCTCCCTGCCTGCAGTGGTGACGTGTGTATGTGTTGGGGGGAGGAGGGCGCGCGTTTGTTGGAGAGTGTGTGGACGTGTTTCCCTGCATGTGCGTGTGTGTGTGTGTGTGTGTGTGTGTGTGTGTGCGCGCGCGCGCTGTAGGTGTGAGCACTGCGACCGCATCATGCATGCGTTCGCAATTGTGTGTGTATCTCTGTGTGGATATGCATCGGAGGCATATGTGCAAGCACATTGAAGGGGATGAGCACATGTGCTTGCAAGCATGCATGCCCGCATGCAATGAAACTTGAAAAAGGAAAATGACACTGGATGCGTTCTGATTCGGATGCTCTCTGATGATGATGACAACGCAGCGTGCCATGCAGCCCAAGCCTGAAATGTGCAACAGCAGCCGCGGGATCTGGAAGCTGGGCCAGCCGCAAATTGGGGTGCGCATTGCTCACATTAGAGGTGACGGCTGGCCCCCCTTTTCCCCCCGAACGCCGCTCACCCTTGGGGATGGCCTCGGCCGCCTGCTGCGTAAACTCTGTGTTAAGCTGGGTCCCGTAGATCCCGAAGAACCCGAACCCCAGGCGGCGGATGATGGCCGCTGGGCTCCAGCCCTGGATCGGAATGTAGAGGGGCACGGAGATCGCGCCCTCTGGGTGGAGGGCGTCGTACTTCATGCCAAGGCGGACGTCCACCAGAACAGCGCTGCATGGGAAGGGGGCGGGGGTATGTGCATCCGTCAGCACTGTATGAGGTATGGGCAGGAATGTGTGCATCATGTCAGCACGCACTGCATGAGGAAGGGGCACGAGAGTGTGCGTTGTGTAAGCATACGCGTGGGGCTGTGCCTGCATGTTGATGGGCATAGGGCAAGTGCATGCAAGGGGAAGGCACTGCTTGCTCTGGGGAGACGGCGCCGCTTTGCGCCTGTTACCTCTTGCGCTTGCCGTAGGCGGCCGCAGGGGAGACGCTGGGCACGCCGCCGCTCGCCACAAGGTCGCGGTACACGGTCTGGGAAGCGGGGCGATGGGGGCCCGAAAGGGAGCGGACAGCCATGCGTCTTGCAGACAACAGTCAAAAGTTTCGACGCGGGGTGGTTGTGCCAACACTACCCAAGCCGATTTCCACCGACAATGACTGCCGCTGGTGCGGCGCGGCCGCCTGTGTGCTGCTCGCTCTGACCCGGCTGCGGTGCCTGAAATGCAAGGCTGCCGGTTCTGAGCGCCCATGTGATGTCGCACCTGCCAGTCCGCATCCTCCTTGAAGCTGCTCTTGAAGATCGGCGCCAGCCCAAACGTGCCCACGAACGACACCGCTGACGCACCGATAGCCCAATAGGCAATCTAGCGATGACGGGCACACCCCGGTGGTTGCGACAACGCAGGATCAGCATCGCGACGAGGCGCAGCCGGCCCGGCAGGCGCACGAGTGGATCAGGATGCAACGAGGCAGGATGCAGGGGGGTCCACAGGGCCGGCAGCTGGTTGGCACGTGAAAATAAAGCAGGTACACAGGGCTCGGCGGCATCTTGTTTGCTTGGCACAAGCTGTGCGGCCCACCGTGGTCCCGTCAACGCCGTCCACCGGAGTCGCTGCCGCACAAGTGGACCGTGCCGCGCGACGCAGGCGCGGGGCGGCCACTGGCACAGCTACAGAGCGAGCACGAGGCTTCGCTGACTGAACATTACGCTGCGCCCTCGAGTGGAGCTGCATCGTTTGCAGATTTTCGCCGGCTGCGTCTCTGACCGCGCTGCTACTGGCCTCACTGCCACAAGATCCGCAAGTTTGGTGACGATCACGTTTCAGACCATTTCAGTTGCGCTGGCAGAGATCAGCTGCGTCACTCGGCTCACCCCAGTGCCCCGCCGAGACACCCCGACCATGCAAGCAAGAGGCCTCAGTATGGTACAAGTGTAGCGAATGATAGTATCATTGGAAAGAACTTGCATGCGATCTACAGTGCTGGTCGCAAAAATGCAAACCACGCAGCAGCAGAGGGCAGGCTCCCAACGCAGCCATGCAGCCCTTCACAAACCCACTCGTCACCGTCACATCCAACGTAACGCACGCTCGCTTGCATCGCGCCGCCGCGCCGCCCCCATAGCAGCGGCCGCGCTCCCGCCCACGCTACCGCCTGTCATCGAGGTGCGCCCTTTGCCTGCTCGGGTGCTCTCGCCTCCACATCCACTCGCCATTACACTGCACAGATGTCATCAACATACGCCTGCGTTCCTCTTGTCCACATCCTACACGCATGAGATTCCAACCCCGCTTGGGCCCTTCTAACCATTACTTGTCTCCAACCCCCAACCCCAGCCCCTGCTGTCAGCCGCGGCAAGCCCACACCCCGGCCTGGCCGCCGGCGTCGCCGCCAACACGCTGGTCTTCACGGGGGGAATCCAGGTCCTCCTCAAAGGCCTGACCTGGGAGGGCGTTTTCAACAGCTGGCTGCTGGGGACGGCGGTCTTCTCGGCGTTTGGCGCCGGCGGGTACCTGCTAGTCTGCCTCTACTTTGTGTTCGGCACCCTGGTGCGATGCGCGCGCATGTGTGTGTGTGTGCGTGCGTGTGTGTGTGTGTGTGTGTGCGTGTTTGTGTGTGTGTGTGTGTGTATGTGTGTGCGTGCGTGCGTGTGTGTGTTGTGTGGTGTGGCGCTGCCTCGCAGAGGGAAGTGGGGCCCCGTCGGAAGGGGCTCCGGCAAGCAGGGGCCTCAGGGGGAGCTGGGATGATGCGGCTGCGGGCAGCTGTTCGCTTCTGCGTGGCCCACGCCTGCAAGAGGGTGGGTGCCTGCCCAAGCACAGCGGCCGACCTGGACCCTCCGCGCCGTTGCACCCCGCCCCGCCCTATCATGTTCGCACCCCGCCAGGTCACAAAGGTCAAGCTGGAACAGAAGCAGAAGGAGGGCATCGCCGAGGCGCGGTCCGGCCGCAGGGGCGCGGTGAGCGGCCGCGCCCCCTCAAATGACACCCCTCCCATGCCCCTGCATGCGCGGCCGCCCCCGCCCTGCCCGGCGCGCGCCCCTCCCCGCCCCCGCCCCTCGCACCGCCCCTCCGCCGGCCGCACGCCCCACCCTTTCCTTCTTCACCCACCCCCGCGCGCCCTCACGCGCTCTTCCCTCTGGCGCCCGCGCGTGCTGCCAGGGCAGCGTCTGGGGCTCAGGGTCCGCGGGCACGGCCTGCGCCTTGCTGGCTCTGGCCACTGGGAATTTTGAGCTGTGGCAGGTCGGATTTGTGGCCAGCTTCACAAGCAAGCTGTCAGACACTGTGTCGAGTGAGATCGGGAAGGTGCGGCTTCAAACGTTTCGGGACGAGGCATAGGGGGAGAGGAGGGGGGGTGCAGGTGCACACAAGCCCGCGCTATGTCTTGGGGAGGGGGTCGTGCATTGAGCGGGCGGGTGCAGCAAATGCTTGTGGCGGATGGGGCAAGGCCTAGCTTGTGCATGCAGGTACGCAAACACACGCACGCACGCACCCACACACGCATGCACACACACAACTCCAACATGCGGCGCCGCGCCCCTGATCGCACACTCGCACACACTCACGCGTCCAACTGTCCTCACATCGCGACCCCCCGCTGTCTGTCATCCGTGCACGCCCGCACATCACTCGTGCGCCACGCCCCAGGCCTACGGCCAAACTACCTACCTCATCACCACGCTGCAGCGCGTGCCGCGCGGCACAGAGGGCGCCGTCAGTGCCGAGGGCACGGCGGCGGGCGCGGCGGCGGCGCTGGTGTTTTCTCTGGTTGCGTTGGCAGTGGGTCAAGTAAGCCTCTGCGTGGCGGATGATGTGGGTGTGGGGTGGGTGGTGTGTGTG